AAGGAGTTGAATAACCGACAAAGAAGATGGTTGGAATTATTGAAGGACTACGACTGCACAATTGATTACCATCCTGGTAAGGCAAATGTGGTCGCCGATGCACTCAGTCGAAAGGGAAGGTTGTCAGAATTAGTGGAAATGAGAGCTTTGGGTGTGGAGTTTCAGGTGGAGGACATCACCACCTTAATTGCACACTTAAGCATCCGACCACTACTCCATGATCAAATTAGAGAAAGTCAACAAGTAGATCCTGAGTGTATCGAGAAGTTGAAGCAAGTTGAAGTGGGGGAAGAAAGTGAATTCATGGTGGACGAAGGCATACTAAAAAGGCATGGTCGTATGTGGGTTCCAGAGTTGGGTGATTTAAGACGAAGAATTCTGGAGGAAGCCCATTCATCCATGTATGCCATGCACCCGGGGGTCACAAAGATGTATAACACGATTAAAACACATTTTTGGTGGCCGGGAATGAAGCGAGAGGTGGCTGAGCATGTTCAAGCTTGTCTAGTTTGTCAAAAGACTAAGGCGGAGCATCGTGCACCGGCTGGACTCTTGCAGCCGCTGCCAATTCCAGAGTGGAAATTTGAGAGGATCACGATGGATTTTGTGACCGGATTTCCTTCTACCCGGGAAGGAAAAGATGCCATTTGGGTAATTGTTGATCGAATGACTAAAGTGGCACATTTTATCCCCATTCGATTCAAGCCAAGTATGGAAGAGTTAGCGAGGTTGTACATAGCTCACATTGTACGACTTCATGGTGTTCCTCTATCCATTGTCTCAGATCGAGATCCCAGTTTCACATCACACTTCTGGGAGAGCTTGCAGGAGGCGATGGGTACGAGACTTAATTTCTCCACGGCTTATCACCCTCAGACGGACGGGCAGTCTGAGCGGACAATACTTACTTTGGAGGAATTATTACGAACCTGTGCAGTGGAAACAGGTGGACCTTGGACGAATTTACTACCCTTGGTGGAGTTTGCCTATAACAACTCCTACCATAGCAGTTTGCAGGCTGCACCCTTTGAAGCTTTGTATGGAAGGAAGTGTCGTACCCCGCTATGTTGGGATGTTGAGGGTACTCGGGTTCTTACCGGACCGCAAATGGTCCAAGATACAGAGGAGAAGGTGAAGGTGATCAAAGAGAGATTGCGAGTAGCTCAAGATCGCCAGAAGTTATATGCCGATAGGAAGGCTCGAGAAGTTAGCTATGATGTGGGAGATAAGGTGTTCTTAAAGGTATCCCCATGGAAGGGATTGATGAGGTTTGGAAGGAAGGGTAAGCTAGCGCCTCGTTACATTGGTCCTTACGATGTTATCTCCAAAGTAGGACCTGTGGCATATGAGCTCGCATTACCCCGTGAGTTGGAGAAAATTCACAACGTATTCCACGTGAGTATGTTGAAAAATTATCATATCGATCCATCTCATGTGATACAACCCGAAAGGGTGGAGTTGGAGCCAGATTTGACCTATGAAGAGAAACCTGTGAGCATTGTGGATCATCAGGTACGTGTGCTAAGAAGCAAGCAAATCCCAATGCTCAAGGTTATATGGCGTAATCAGGAGGAGGAGGCTGCAACCTGGGAAACCGAGGAGAGTATGAAGAAGAAGTACCCCGAGCTAGTTGAGGCTTATGCTCAACGTATGTCGACCTAGTACCTCATGTGTTAGATCGATATGAGTAGGGTACATTGTAATATATAACCTCTACTGTAGAGTGAGTGAATAAGTATGAAATAAAAATTTCCCAAGCCATTAGGTACTTGATGGCCAAGGGAAATTATCATGTCGTTATGCGGAGTTAAGCGATGTTTTGGACGAGCCGATTTCGGGGACGAAATCTAATTAAGAGGGGGGGAGTTGTAACATCCTGAACCTCTAATAATGTTTTTCCAGATGACGGGCGGATATTATACGATTCGAGACTGAAAAAAAAATATCGACGAGTTATCCTATACGAGGTAGGATCAACGAAACCACTTTAAAACTCCCAAAGCAGCAAAAAGTGCAACAAAAATATATTGTTGGCTACAAGAATCAAACCCCTGACCTGTTGGTCAGTAAGGAAGGGTTCAACAACATAACCAGTTAGACTATGCTGGTTTCAGTGATACAAAAGGAGCCGAGTCATTAATGAGCTAATGACGTCGGCATTGCACCAGCAGCTAGCTTGTTTATGGAGCCGGCTTTGGAACTTGAGTTTCTTCCTTTCAAAGCTACTGCTCCTTAGAAGGCCGCCCCAGGCCTTTACTCCATCTGCTGGAAAGTAAATGAAGAGGTAAGAGCATGAATCAAGGAGCTCTATTATACCGGTAAGCTAGCTCTCCATTTTTGCCTTCGTACAAACACCAAGGAGAGAAAAGAAAAGAAATAATATGAAACCAAAGCCTAGCATAGTCTCTGTATTCCCAGCAAAGGTTTAGAACCTATACAAACCTGTTTACAAGCCAAAATCGCCAAACCAACTCACCAAATATCCTTTACCGAAACATTTGCCGTAACCTTTTCGTCAGCCAAACCAGTGCCACTACAGGCAGCATCAGCTTCGAAGCTTGATACCGCTACAAAGAGCAAGTCACCACGAGCATCACAGAGTTTACGGAATTGAATTCCGAGCTCAGACGAGGGAGAAACAAGGCCGGGAAGTTGGTACGTGAGGTAAGGGAATTTCCAGTTTTCTGCAGATTTTGGACAGCAGAAAATTAAGAATTAATCCCTAATTTCGTACTAACGATGATCAGCTCGCAGTTTCTTCGTTTGACGTCCAAACGACGAACCGTTTTCGCCTACAGGACCGTAGAAACAAGGAGAAATTTTAGGAGCCAATCTCTGGAATTTTAGAACGTAATTCCCGACTTGGAATCAGCTAAATTAAGGTGTGTGGGGATTAAGAGGACCTTAATTATTGCATCGATTATTTATGCTTGATTTGCATATTTGGATGGATGGATTACTTTGGGTGATGACTTATTTGTTGATATGATGATTTGGTGATTATTCTTGATTGTTACGGATTTTACGGAGTAAATATCGATATTTGACAAGTTTCCCCGTAAAAATGAATAGTTGGGTTTATTGAGTCTAAAACTGATCTAAGTGATTTTTGTTTGTCTAAAATGAGGTTGGGATAGATTGAGCAGAAGATTTCACTTGAAAATGGTTTCCGGATTAAAAACTGCATAACGGTCAATTTTACCGAAAGCTCGGTAAAAACGTGTTTTATTTATCTTTAAGATTTGGATCACTTCAAAATGGTCAGTATGGATTGTTAAATGGTTTTTGGTCTGAAAATGGTAAATTAGACAGTTGGTGGAATTTTTATCCTTAAAACGGTAAAAATGAGCTTAATACGAGATTTGCGATAAATACCGAGTGTAATATTATTTTCATGGTTTTGAGTTGTTGAAAAATATAAAAACTGGACAGACCTGTTTTAGGATGATAAATGAAGGTTCTTGTAATTTTGGGAGATTTTTGGATTTACCGTTTTGTTGGAATTTAAGTTACCGTAAAATAATGGTTAATACGAGATTTTTGATACTTTATTGTCTAAATTGATTTTTATGACCAGAACTAGATTTAATGGATTTTTGTGTCAATAAATTCATTTACATGAATTGTGTGAGGATTTTAATGAAGGAAAGTGAATTTTGAGTTAAGGACATTTTTAACCGCGACCGAGTTATTTATAATAATTTGCGTTGGCGCTATTTCGTGATATTGTTGATGAATTTTGGATGAGGAACGGTGATATGGTACTGCTGAGTAGCCTTACGGGAGAATGAGATGATTTATGTGATTTGGTATTGGATGATGAAATAGTTGATTTTTTTGAAACGTCGAGTTGATAATCGACGGAAAATATATATATGAACTGGTTAATCCGTAAGATTACATTGATTCCGGATTGATTGTGATGGATGAGAAAAATGGAAATGGTTTGATTCGTGATCATATTAATTCACGTAGATATAGAAAGGGCCTGCATTTACCCTCACCCCTTGAGAGTGGGTAGATTTAGCTCGCTTATGCGATTTAGTGTTGTGGTTGCATGAGCACCACGGATGAGTGTTGTGGTTGAAAACCACGGATGAGTGTTGTGGTTAAAAACCACGGATTGAGTAGGCCTGTAACTGTGGCCCATACTACCCATCAGCCCGGCCCGGCCCGGCCCAACCCTGTGGGTCGGGTAGGGTCAATTAGTCTTTAGGGTCAAAATAGGGTCGGGTTACATTCTGGCCCTAGAGGGTAGGGTATTTTTGGGTTTTACCCTTAAAACCCTTTCAGACCCATTTTGACCCATTTTAGCCCTAAGCCCCTAATTACCCGAAAACCCGTGTCGGCTCATCTCTGCTTTCCTCGCAATAGTAGCGACTACTGGTCGAATCCCTTCCCCGGACGCCATTGCCGACGATTTCTCCAGAAGTTAGAACTCTGAAACCCCATTCCCTGCGCCCACCCACTACTCTCTTTACGGATTCTCTACACTCAGTTTTTCTTCGCCTGAAGTAATTCTGCCATGGCGAACGTCGTCTGATCTCCACAAACAGGTACTAATTTCTGGATTCTTTGATGGGGTTCTTTGATTGCCGGAAAAAATTGAGAAGAAACCCCTTGCACTTAAATTTCTGCCATGTCTTCTTGCTTCATTCATCTTAGGATTTATTGGGGTTTTATAGATTCTCCTCTTAGGTTTTCCTACTTATATTCAATCTGTTTCAATTTTGTTACATGGGCGTGGTTGATTGGCTTCCTAGAAATCCATGAGTGTGACCGGTAAAAAGGGTTTCCGTGGCTGGATACTTTTCTCATTGATTTTTTCGGAATCCAAACTTGATACAGAGTTGGCATAATCTTGAACTGGGTTTTTTCACATCAGATCGAGATCGATCTAACAAGATCTCCTCCAAGTGATCTACCATTCAAAGATGCAGGCTTTGAAATGAAAAAAGCTGCAGAATTTCATATAACGAAACAGAAAAAGCGAGTTGTTACTTGTGAGGAAACCGGAATTCATTTCTGGAGGAGAGAAATTAAAGAAGAAGAAGAAGAAGTCAACACAAGAAGATGAAGGCAGTTGTGGAGTAATTGGTCTCCTTCAATCGGTTCTAGATATATATAAAAGAGTGGATGCAAAGTAAGCCATACAAGTTTGAACTTGCCGCTTGGAGAGTTGGGTTCAGCTCTTCTTTGTTGTCTAGGCAGACTACTTGAGCCAATTTTAACTTCACTTCTGCTGCTTGAAGGCAGGGGAATTGGTGCTGGGTTCAAAGATGTCTTGCCATGGCTTGTTGTTTTAAGCTTTTGCTGAGTTGTTTATTTAAATTTTGGTGTCCTTGTTTTGGTATCAACTGAAGTTTGGAATTTAAGTTGAGTAATTAGAGTAAGGGGTCAAGCAAGTTCTGTTCATTGTTGCTGCTTACTTTCTGTTGCTGCTGCTGCATGTTACAGTCTTCCAGACAAGTTTCGAAGCTACCCTAGCCAGCCTAGGGGTCATGCAATAATGCTGTGTTTCAGAGAGCTAGATAGGAAAGCCCAACTGATGATGTCTCTGTTGCTGCTGCTGCTACTAGCTAATGGGGCTGTTCAACTTGTTAGCTAGACGAGGGGTTATGGGGATGTGCAGTTGCTGATTGGGTTTGGCTTTGGTGCTTGTCTATACTATATTGAATGTGTAAATTACAGGACTGGTCATAGACTGAAATCTACGTACAAACAGGCAGTTTTTTGGCGTTGGAGTATCTTCATTTTGTTGTGTTTAAGTATGGGTCAAAGATCTCTTCTTCTATTCATTTCCTCTTATGTGCTCTAGATTGGTGTATGCATGCGCATGGATAAGGAATTATCCATTGCTGGTGTGCTTTTTGTGCCCAGTGAACTGTCTAATTGCTAGGTGTTAATTATTGAGATGGGGATACTCTATCGTGCTTGGTAACTACTGCTCTGTATGTTCATCAGGGTACTGAAAGGAAATAACCATTGGCTTGTCTTGTTTCTTTTTGTTTATTGTTGAGTGCAGGTGTGATGGTTGATGATGATTGAAAGATGATATATTTGATATTATGAGCGATGTAATTGATGAATCCCGAAATTGTGTACTTTTTTTTTACGTACTTTGCATTTTGTTTATTTGATTTGGATTTATTGTAAAGTAATTTTGACTTTTTATATGTAATTTGTAGTTTGTTTATTTGATTTAGATTTATCGTAAGGTAATTTAGACTTTTTAGATGTAATTTGCATTTTTTTTATTTGATTTGGATTTATTGTAAGGTGATTTAGACTTCTTAGATATAATTTTAATTTTCTGGAATTAATTTTGAGTTTTTCGAATTAATTAGGATTTTTGGTATAGGAATTTGGACTAACTTAAAATTTTCTGGAATTAGTTGGAATTTTTGTAATCAACTTTTATGTTGTGAATTAGTTTAAATATTTTTTATTTAATTTAGATTATTTTCATTATGAACTCATTTAAATTTTCTAGTATATACCTGCAATTTTTTGAAATTTAATTTGAAATTGAATAATTAAGTGGGCTAATATTGAATAAAATGAAGTTGGGCCGACCCTATGGCCCGATCCGACCCAGCCCAACCCGACCCAACAGGGTCATATAGGGCCAAATGAGAATAGGGCCGGGCCGGGCCGGGTCGAATATTTTAGCATACAGGGCTGGGTTTTTTTGGGTAGTGGCAGGGTCAGGGCTGGGTTTGACCCAGTTTCACCCCTAGGATTGAGTGTTGTGGTTGCATGAGCACCACGGATGATGATTTGCTCGAGCGAGGGTAAGTGTATGGTGACCTTGGCGCCATTAATAATTAACCGGAATTTTCATATCATGCATTCATTATGTGTTCGTGAAATTAAGTGATTATCTTATTGGATAAATTGATTTGGTGATGATTAGTTGGTGGATTCGATAATTTGATCGGTAATTTATATATGATGATTTAAGATGGCATCTAGAGTAATAATTTATGATTGATTATGATTGTTTGATTAGCTGATTGCGGTCCCAAAATTAGGTCGTGGGAAAGATCCACACACACAGCTTAGTTGCTGACCCACGTCTGTTTTCAGGCTCGCAGGTGCAACTAGGATCGGACTACTAAGGCTGCCCTATCCTTCTGTACTACCATCATGAGGTAGTTTGGAACACTGTTCTGTCATGGTCACCTAGGATTTTTGCTTTGAGTGTTTGAATAATAAACCCACATTTTGTAAAATTCAATAAGTGGGTTGGGATTCGAATAATGAGTTTGTATGATAACGGTTTATGTTTGTGTTTAATTATCGGATATGATGTTTGAGATGATCGAGTTCAACCAGTAACACCGATGATTTGGCTGCGCGGTTGAACCACGGGTTCAACCATAGAGATTATGGGTGGGGTGTTACACAATCTCTTGACAAGACTCCAGATATTTAGCTGCTGATAAAGCTGCGCTCCTTTTCATATCAGTTTCCTTGCGCTCCAGTTCTGCTAGCTGTTGCTGAATCTTATGCACATGCTTTCTATGCTAAGAGCTTCATCATAGTTTAGAGCAGAAGTAATCAGTCATACAAACCACAAAGATGAAGAGTCTAAATATTCTTCTTCAGCAAATTGAGAGCAGAAGATTGTAGTCTTACATTTCGTAAGTCACATTTTGGATTATTGTTTGGGCTGCATCACCATGGAATATATGGTCATTCTCAAAAGACTGCACAATTGCTCCCCAAGCAAACCTATAACACCAACCAGCAGAATGAATAAGAACCATTACAGCAATTGATAAGGCTGACAAAGAGGAGAGAGCATCGGCAAAAAGATGAGTGCCTTACAGCAGGACCTGATAGCCGCCCAAATATATATCCGCTCTCTGGAGAGAGTGGACTTGGAGAGGATTTCGTAAATCTTTCTGACCTCCAAGTAACCAACCTCTGAAATGAGAATGTTAATGATAAGTGACCTCCAAGTATCCTCTTCCGATCAACCAGCCATTCTTCCATAATTCCAAGTGGAGAAACAAACAATCCAATTCGACAATCATGGCAGCAAAAAAAATCCGATCACTTGAGAACTCAAACAAACTGAATTAACGAGCAGTAATCATACACACAAAGAAATCGAAAAAGTTAGTCTCCTAACTGATGTCTTTGTTAGGAGATGCTGGCACGGTATGGATGCTGTCCACGCAAGCCCAGCTGAGATCCAACGGGTGCAACAGATGGGCTCATTTAAGTGAGGTTTTGTGGGTTTTTTAGCCCAGCCGAAAAAGAGAGGGAGCTGATGGGTGGCGGCTCGGTGGGGACAATTGACTTGGGCGAGAGAAAGGAAAAGAAGGGCCCAAGTGGGTGATTTATTTGGGGAAAGAAAAGTAAAAAAAAAAATTAAAACCTAGAAAGTGGTTGGAATTTAATGCCCACAACCACCCAAACCCGAAAATTGCCTCTCTCTCTCTTCAATTTTTCTTTGTTTTCCTTCTCTTCCAGAGGAAGAGAGCCGCCGCCCAACTGTATTTTCCGGCGACCATCTTTTCTTTCCGGCGAGTCTTGTCGACGTTCTAGGATGCCGATCGACGACAATGGGGAGTTGGATGATCAAGGATCTTCTCCAATGAAGAAGGGTAAGTCGATCCTACAAAATAGTGAAGAAGAAATCTATCCTACATCATATGAGTTTGTTGATGAAGATTCAAGTGGTGCTCCTGCCCTAGATGAAGAAGAAGAAGAAGATAAAGGTTGATTGAGTAATATATATATGTTTGTGTTGTTGTGAGATTTGTTGGTTGCATTGAATGTTTGATGTTGAGATTGTTGTGAGAATGGCATTTAATGATCTTGATGTTGTTATGGGTACTGATACGTGGGTTTTGGATACGATTTACTTAATGTTTGCTATTGGTCTGGACGTGGTGTGTCATACTGTTTAATGCATTGTTTGATATTAGTCTGGTAGTTATAGATATTATTTATTTAAAGTTTGGATATTTATTGAAGCCTAAGTATTCTAACAGTTTGTGGGTAAGACTTCGAGCTATGTTGGATAGTTAGTAGTCTGGGCATATTGATTTCATTTGTTTATTGGACAATATGGATAATAACATGCCTCATACCATTAACTCGCAGCTCATAAGACCTTGGATCTAGAAGACGAGGAAGCGAGGAAGAACATCTCTTATCGCACTACGGATGAGTGTTTTGATTTCTATAAGCGCTACGCTCACAAAAAAGGGTTTGGTGTTCGAATAGATGGGGAACACATAAGAAAGATCAAGAATTCTAAAGGAGTGGAGGAGAAAAATTATGCATACCTTTATTACTTTTGTAATAAGGAAGGCTGGACTTCCACAAGCAAAATCAATGTGGATAATCAGATACAGCCGGAAGACAAGGTTGAAGAGAGAATGGTTTGCAAAAGAAAGAGGCCTCGAGTTAGGGATGGATGTCCCGCCCGTGTTCGTTTTGGATGGGATGCTGCTAGGGAGGGATTTGTGGTGTATGAATTGGTCGAAGCCCACAGTCATGGTTTGCACTCTACCGAGCATATGCACTTGCACAAGTCTAACAAGTGCATGAGTGATGCTCAGAAAAAGATGGCCGAAGCTAATCGCGATGCCGGGATGAGTCTTAGTGCATCGTATCAGTTATTGGCTGATTGTGCTGGTGGCTATCAAAATCTGAGATTTACCAAATCCGATCAGAAGAACCACTTGAACACTAAAAGGCAAAGGACGATGGCTCGTGGTGAAGCGACTTATTTGCTGGACTACTTTGAGGACCAAAAGGACAAGCATCCTGGCTTCTTTTATGCTGTAGAGGTGGATTGCGATGAGAAAGTTGCTAATATATTTTGGGCGGACAGTAGGATGTGTGAAGATTATGCGCTTTTTGGAGATTCGGTCTCCTTTGATACCACCTTCCGAACCAATAAATACTTCCGTCCACTGGGTACGTGAATCGTCTAATTCCCTTGAGTTCTTTCGCATGGATGTTTTTAGTTATATTACAGAAATGGTTATGAATAGAATTGGTCCTTGGTGGTCTGATATTGACATGTGATGCCATGATATTTGTTTGTAACACGACGGGTATTAGTAACCCTTCATACGATATTAGTCTGGGCTTTACTGATATTGATTGGCATATACTGTGACACTATCAAGACCTAACACATAGGGCTTGCAACCTTAGTTAGGGCTGCCCGCCGAAGGCCCATAACCAATAATAGTAGGAGAGGAATCGTGGTATGTTTTTATACCAGTATGGGTATTATATGTTGTTTACTATTCATCACCTAATTCGTTTGAGTTTTTTCGACACTTGTTCGGTTATGCATTGTCATTAATAGTTGTCTTGTGCGGGGATGTTTGTAGGTTTCAATCACCACCGTCAAACTTGTGTGTTTGGAGCTTGTTTGATGTATGACGAGACTACTCCGTCGTTTGAATGGTTGTTTGTTGCATTTTGTCGATGCATGAAGAAGAAGCTCCCAATCACTATATTTACTGATCAGGACGCAGCCATGGCAGCTACCCTTAGAAATGAGTGGCCTACTGTGTTTCATGCCCTCTGTACTTGGCACATCCTCATGAATGCCAAGAAGCATCTTCGCAAGGACAAGGCATTTTGGAAGAAGTTCCAACATCATATTTCTTTTGTTTTCTACGACATCGACACTGAGGAAGAGTTTGACATGGCATGGAGCACCATGGTTTCTAATTGTTTCCCAAATAGCGACATTGCGGATGGCCATCAATGGTTGGAACGTTTGAAGAAATTTCGTCATCGATGGTGTTCTTTATGGTTGAGAGATCAATTCACAACCGGGATGTTGACTATGCAAGCCAGCGAGTCGTGCAATGCACAAGTGCGACTTTTCTTGAAGCCGAGGCATGATTTGGACTTGTTTTTCATTCACTTTAGCAGGTACACACGCGCAATATGACTTTTCCTTTCTATGATATTAGTCTGGTAGGGTTTGATATTTTTATAGTCAGTGTTGATATTTCTCTGCTCTGTTGATATATTTGTTTATCCGTTCTGGGTATTGGTACGGGTCTTTAAGGATATTAGTCTGGGCACTGAAGTCTTTTTTTCTTGCTTCCTAATTGTAGTTTGTTGGCTGACAAAAGACGCAAGGAGACAGAGTCAGACTACAATGCAAAACAATCGGTTCCTTATATAATGTTGGAGAATAGCCCGATCCTCCAACATGCGGCAAAGATCTTTACTCCAAACATTTTCGATCGGATACAGAAGTAGTATTTGGTTATTGAATCCTATATAATGGAGAAGCTCTCAGATACTAGGGATGATGGCATGATTGGCTACCTCATATATATGATGGAGGATGGTGAGCGTAGTGACGAGCGGGTCGTTCTCGTCGATATTTCTACGACGACCTTGGTATGCGAATGCAGAATGTTCAGAACTTTAGGAGTGTTATGCCGCCACATGATTAAGGTGATGCGGCTTCTTGGAGATTTTGGGGAAGCAAGTATGAGAAGTATTCCAGATCATTACATACTCAAGCGATGGACGTTGGAGGCGAGAAAGAGAGAGGTTGTTGATGTCGATGGTTCTGTTGAAGGTTCTGTTGGTCCTTCAGCTGCCAGTGAGAATGATGTGGGAAAAGGTATAGCAATGCGGTACCGGGAAACCACTGCAATGTTGAATCAACTAGCAATAAATATGTCGATGGCTGATGAGAAAGACTACAATAAGTGGATGGGAGTACTCAAGAAACTATGCAATGAGGCAAACAAGGCATTGTCAAAGACTATAACTAGCGAGGACAGTAAGTATATTCACTAATAACATTTGTAAATTGTTAGAGTTTAATATTATTGCATTTACTAAATTCTCTAATATTGTAGGACGATCTGTACCGATAACTGGGCTGACTTTGAAGGAGAAGAGTAATCCAAGGAGTCACGGTAAGGAACGTTACCAGTCTACGAATGAAAAGGAACGCCGTCGAAAGAAACGTGTCTATAGGAAGAGAATGAAATCTGTTGAAGTGGTCACGCAGGACGACAATGCTCAACCGGATGGCCATCTTAGTGATTTGGATGATAATATTGCTCAATGGTTTGAATAGAATGTAGGGTGGTTCGAGAGTGGTCTATTGTGATATGATATTGACATGTGATTCCAGGATACGTTTTTATGGTGCAGTGGATATTAATCCACTTGCTTAGGATACTTGTCTGGGCAAACTTGATATGTTCTGTAAAATGTACAGAGATTAGTCTGGGCTTCCTGGATATCAGTTGTATCAATGATTACTTCTTTCACTATTCACATGTACAGATATAGATCTACTATAAGTCCGGGCTCCAAGGATATTAGTCTACAAAAGAAGGGTATCTGTCTGGGCCTTAAAGATATTATTCTGGGTCTTTCGGATATCTGTCTGGATCTTTCGAATATCTGTATGGGTATTTCGGATATTTGTATGGGTCTTTCGGATATTTGTCTGTCACTTTGCAGCTATTTGTTTAAATAAACTTGGTATTTGTCTGGGCTGTAAGGATACTTGTTTGTTCTTTAAGGATATTAGTCTACAAAAAGACAGATATTTACCCTCCTGGAAATAGTATATTTTTCAATCAGAACTTATGTTGGTAATTATATCCAACATCTGGCAAAATATCCTCCATCCTGCTGCAAAACATCATACCTCCCTAAATATTATCCAACCCTAAATAGCATTCATCCCTAAATATTATCCAAGCCTAAGGTCAGTTTTACAAACTAATATCATAGTACACAAATCTAAAATCACATCCTCTTCCTTCTCCCTTTCTCCTTCTGCGCATACCATTCTATTGCACGTTCAATTATTTCATTGTTGCGGCGGTTATTGTCCCATAAAAGGAGATTGGCTGCAATCCGTCTTCGCTGTTCCTGCACATGTGGCTGCTTGGGCCAACTTGCTTTATATTCCACTAGAAGGTGACCCGCCCAGTGCTCCATGTAAAGGCATGCAAATACACCGCAATCATGGTTGCCTACTTGCTGAGGAACGTCGGCAATGTTGAATGGCCACTCATCCAATGCACAATCAACCCCTTGCTCTTTGAAGAACGCCGCCGCATACCCAAAAATCACATTACCAACTGGTCCATGATCCTCCTTAGCCACTAGGGCATTGGTCTTTTGGCTGTCAAGTACGAAAGTCCTCCTATTCTTCATGTCAGCCACGTACACCTGGTAGTGATTATTTCGATACATTGGAAAAAATATCTGAAACACAAAGCAGTTTGTGAGTTTATAATTGACTAATATCCTAATAACCCAGATTAATATCTCAACAATGCCTTATAATATCATATAAAACCAGACCAATATCAAGGAAAATTAAAAAAATCCAAATTGTCAGAGTCACTTACGTAATCACTGCTTTCCAAGTTTTCCCGTTTCACCATTGGATTGTCTCGGTGCAGATCAATATATCCAGCTAGTCTCCCCTTTCCATGGGTTGGTTCGAATAAGCATTAGTGACGGCATGTTGCTATTTAGAAGAGACAACAATATCAAATTAGACATTTTAAATATAAAAAGTATTTAAGCAGTGAAGATAATACTTACTACATAACTCCATGGGAAGACAATTCTCTTCACCACCTCCTTGCCTACTTCTTTGTAATTTAGGAATTTCCCGTATAGTACAAGTACTTGGGTATGCAACCAATTTCTACCCTTCAATGAATGTAGCTGCAAACGGGAAAGGCTACCGGTTGGAGTATCCACTACAAATTTCTCACTGTAAAACACAAATGAAAACTAGTTTAGAAATGTGTGTTGGACAAATTGAAATTGGTGATTAAATAACTCCTCAATCAACTTACTCGTCTGGAGCAGTAGTACTGAACATGTAGTCAACCACTTGCAGAGCTATAACGTCGAGTTTCGTCGACATAGTCTTTGGCAGAACGTACACTGATTCGCCCAAGGGGTGGTGTTTTGACCTATCAAACTCTGGAGTTTTTAGGGTTGCCTTCTGGGCTTCCGGTGTGATAGAGTGCAAATAATCTGCCTCCTCCACACTCCTAATGTACTCAGAGATGATAATATCATCGTCGCTATCCTCCTGAGCAGCAGCAGTTGACTCGACAGGTGTCTGCAAAACATGGCCAGTATCTACTCATAAAGAAACAAATATCCAGCAAGCCCAAGCTAGTATCCATAACAAAAGAAACAAATATCCAAAAAGCCCAGGAAAATATCCACTATATACGCAACCAATATCCTGGTAGCCCAGGCTAGTATCCATAACAAAAGAAACAAATATCCAGAAATCCCAGAGAAGAGGCTACTGGTAAGAGAAATATTACCGTAGTCGGAGATGTCTTCATACTCTCTTCAGCGGCAGCAGTGGCTTGGAAACCAATCTGCATCACATTAGCGAATGTTATATCCGGGTCTCTATCCTCCATCATCTCACATGTTGCTGCTATAAGCTCCTCCTCTGATGGTCCTGCCCCTTTTCCACTCTGCCCCTTTTCCTTCTTTGTTTTGGTCGCTGAAAAAACACGTACAAACACATTTAATTATTATCCAAACTGCCAGAGTAATATCCAGACATCACAGAGTAATATCCAATCTTGAAGGAGCTGTTATCCATACCGCACAGAACAATATCCAAACATAATTTGCATCAATTATCCAGAAAACATAATATCCAGCACTCATGAAAAGAAATAACAGCACCTGTTCGATGCAATCATGAAAAGAAATATCCAAACTGCCAGAGTAATATCCAGAACCAACAATTTGTTCAAGCCATTCCAACATGGCAAAGATAAAATACCAACAATAACCAGAACCAACAATTTGTTCAAGCCATTCCAACATGGCAAAGATAAAATCCAAACAATAAACAGAACCAACAATTTGTTCAAGCCATTCCAACATGGCAAAGATAAAATTCCAACAATAAACAGAAATCTGAATGTTCAAGCCATTCCAACATGGCAAAGATAAAATCCAAACAAGAAACAGAAATCTGAATGTTCAAGCCATTGCCAAGATCATTTGGTTCCTTGATGGCGCAAAATGACAACTCTCCAAACACTATCCCGCCTTGACTCCCATACATCCATCATTTTTTCAGTCATGGACTCCAATGCCTTAAGCTACACATATATTGAAAAAAAAAATTAGTTCACTACATACACCCATGGCCACTAACCCACGATTTTGAGTTGCAGAGAGAATATATACATACCTCATCATCATCAAGGGTTTCCAAGTCAACATCCTTCCACCATTCAGTAGTAGAAGCCGAGTTACTTGTTCCTGATTCCCAATCCCTCCTGGCACGTTCTGGACGGAAGCGGGATTTGACTTCTTCTCTTGACAACAACATCGGACCAAGAAGATATTTGTCAGCTTCCTTGGGGATATTCAAGCACACCTTGTCCACCCTAGGGTCGAACCAATAGCTGCAGGTAGGGATGGTTTTTGTGGCAAACCCTCTCACATTAAGGAAGTCCAGCAAATGGATCTACAAAAAAAAGTTCAAAACAAATATCATAAATGAAAACAACTATTATCCCATGCACGGTTATTAATATCAGAAATGAAAAGAACTAATATCCTAAGCAACGATACTAATATCAAAGGCACAGAAAACATATATCAGAAATTAAAAGAACTAATATCCTAAGCAACGATACTAATATTAAAGGCAAAGAAAATATATATCAGAAATAAAAAGAACTAATATCCTAAGCAACGATACTGATATCAAAGGCACAGAAAACATATATCAGAAATAAAAAGAACTAATATCCTAAGCAACGATACTAATATCAAAGGCACAGAAAACATATATCAGAAATAAAAAGAACTAATATCCTAAGCACACCAAATCAACAATGTTAAAGGAGAAATTACCATTAAGAAGTGGATATCTCCGAGAGGCCATTGCTGTCTACCATGAGCCCTAGCTTCAGCTTCGTTTTCCTTAGCACGAGACAGCTCAAACTTCAGATTGCGGGCAACAAAACCACTCCAATTGAAAGTGGCAATGTCTTCCACCCTTCCAACAAGGTACTCAGCATAATCGAGATCACAAAGTCGTGACATCTTTGGGACGAGCATCGAACCCATAGCCAGCAACAAAAACTGCTTCACTGCGGCTGCAACAGGTGGTCTCCTGTTCGGTGCATCATCTGGACCACCACAGGCTGCCTCTCTAAGATGCATGACTTCGACATTTCGACTTCGATTACACTCGATGTGGTGCTCCTCCATGAACATATCCAGCATCTTGTCGTTAGACCTAACGACATCAATCTCAGCTCCACCAATAGGAAGGCCATAAACACGGGCAACATCCTCAGCTTCGATTGTAAGCACCTTCTTGTTCTCCCCTTCACAGAAAATGAATGAACTGGTGACCAAGTCGTAATGTGCCATCAAGGAATCGAACAACTTCTTAGGAAAATTTGCCAATCGAAGCTCCAACAACCCTCCAAATCCAGCCTTCTCCAACTCTTTCTTGCATGCTTCATAGTACCTTGGCTCTTCCTTCCAGTAATTAATAACATCTAGCACAGATTTGGTATGGCACCGAAATCTGTACCACGGCTTGCCTTGTCCTAGAATATTATTTCTTTGTGCAGCTCCTTGTGCGGCAACTTCAGCATCTTCTTCCTCATCCTCCTCACGTCGCGCTCTCTTCGCGGTCATTTTATTTCTGGCCATTGATAAATCCATGCACAAACAAATATACAGATATATCAAACAAATATCTAGATAAATCAAACAAATATCCAGATATGTCAAAAAAATATCCAGATAAATCAAACAAATATCCCGACATGCCAAACAAATATCCAGTTATAATAAACAACTATCCAGGCAAGTCACAACTAATATCATGCTTGCCAAAACCAATATCCAGATATATATATCAAAGAAATAATCCAAGCAAAATAAATAATATAATGTCTGAAATCTGTACCTCGGATTTTTCCGACCTCGAGCTGCTCCTTGTGCAGTTGTTTCTGCTTCGACTTCATCATCTTCTTGTGCAGCTCCTTCTGCTTCGGATTCAGCATTTTCTTCTTCCTCATCTTCCTCTCGCTGTCGCGGTGGTGGTGGTGGAGGGGGTGAAGTCGGTGGCGCTCTTTTCCCGCTCGTTTTAGTCTTTGCCATAGATAAATCACCTGCAAAGACAAATACCCAGATCCAATAAAACAATTATCCAGGAAAGTGAAAACTGATATCATGCTCGAACAAAACCAATATCAATGCAAACAGAACTAATATCGGCACAAACCGAACTAATATCGACACGATCAAAATTAATATCGGCACAAACATAACTGATATCGACACAAACAGAACTAAATATCGACACAAACAGAAAGTCATTCCACAAAACCCAGAAATAAAATCCACAGAAGAACGAACCATGCAACCCTAACTCAAATCTGTCCAATCGAAAACTAATATCCACGAAACTATGCTTGAAACCTTACTTGATCAAGAACCTGAGTTCCCTGCAAAGCGCCGCCGCCGAGATCGCCGCCGCCGAGTTCGCTGCAAGGTCGCCGCCGCCGAGATCTCCGAGTTCGCTGTAAGGTCGCCGCCGCCGAGATCTACAACTTCAGAACTCCGACTTCGCTGCTTCGTCGCCGCCGCCTAGAACGCCGAGTTTGCTGCTTCGTCGCGGCCGCCAAGATCTCTGCCGCCGAGTTCGCTGCCGCCGACTTCGTGGCAGCCGTGTTTGTGGCCGCCGAGTTTGCTGCACCGCGCGGCCGTTCGTCTGCGTTTGGGAGAGGAGGAAAGGGAGAGAGAGGCAGGGGAAAACCAAATTGGCGGAGAACTGAAAAGGGGTAGGTTTAGGATAATTTTTTTTTGGTTTTTGAATTAGTGGGCCCGACGGGCCCCGCAGCCGCTGTGGGCTTTGCCCAGCCGATGAAATCGGCTCTACTTCCACACGTTCTGGCGCGTTCTCTCCTCCACCGATGGATGACGGCTTGGCGACGTGGAGGCCCATCCGCCCCTGTTAACATCTCCTAACAAAAGCCCCTGTTAGGAGCATAACTAGATTGCAAAGAAATGGTTACAACGATGGAGTTGAAGGACAGCTGGGAAACCGGAAACGGAAGATGGCAACCTCCGAGACGAGAGAAGGTGATGTGGATAGGGAGATTCCGAATGTCGTTCTGATTCTGCATTTCTTTCGTCGGCGGGAGAATTTGGTCCGACGCTGTGCGTAGGGGTTCGTTTCTGCGTTTTGTGCTGATTTTCGGGTCGGGTTGAGCATTTCCCGGGTTCTGGACGTCAAATTACCAAAATGTATCTCAACGCTCACCTCTATATCGTGTTTTACGTTGTAATATAGGCAAATCGACGAGGGTAATGAGGTCCACGCGTATGGAGGTAGTAGCTATAGCATCATCGACCATGGTGTTAATGGAAACAAGACGAACTTAGCTCCGATCAGGCAAACAAGTTATAACTCTCGAATTTCCCCGCGACGTTGTAAAGTCTCCACCTTCCCCCCACCGCGGCTGCAAAAGGTAAATTTTCGCGTCGATTGATTCAAATTCGATGTAATTTTAGGCCCAGCTTCGTGGAATTATAGGTTTACCTAGGGTTTCTGAATCGTTTGAATCTCCCTCCATCTCTCTGCTACTGCCTCTGACTTGGATTCCTGTCTTGATTTCAAATCGCTAGGTATAATTTTGTGAACTTTTTTTATCGATTGAGTTAGCAAATGGTGGGTGAAGTGAAATTTGTTCATCTCTTCTATCTTCTGATGCTGATTGATATGGTGGATTCTGTCCCCCCGCATCCAGTTTCCTCATTCCCTAGCCTAGCATCTAGAGAGGAATTTCTCTTCCATCAACAAAACTCATCTTTCGGAATTTTCGCTCTGTTCGTCGATTGTGTTCTTTGAAGTCTATGTCTTCGAGTCTTCCTTCAGTTTTGGGGAAATCAAGAGCATTTGAATACTCATGGCAAATGCTTGTCTGTCTTTATGATTCAAATCATGTTGCTGATCCTCCCCTTTGATCAAGCAAACGAATTTGCCATGGATAAAGTAATCCCATTTCAGAGGGGTTGATGACTCCTGTAACGATGCTAATTTATTTTAATTTGCTCGCATTTGTGGTCGCCAGACAATAGTTAAAAGGCAGCGATGGATTCATCAGAGATGAGGTACTTGGAGGATGATGACACTCCAAAGATGAAAGTTGTAAAGGGTGCAACCACAGGATTGGTTACTGGGACTATTTTCGGTACCATTGTCGCCACTTGGCATGATGTGCCTCGTGTGGAGAAGCACGTCGCACTTCCAGGGCTAATAAGGACTCTGAAGATGATGGGAAATTATGGGATGACCTTTGCTGCCATTGGTGGTGTTTACATTGGTATTGAGCAGCTTCTACAGCATCAAAGAATGAAGAGAGATTTCGTTAATGGAGCTGTTGGTGGTTTTGTTGCTGGGGCTTCAGTCCTAGGCTTTAAAGGTAAATTATCCCTTTTCATGATCGCTTTCAGTAGGTTCTGTGGTCTTATCACCTTATACTTGGGATGAGCAAGCGTCTTGCTGACATTTTTGCATAAATAATTGGCTTGCATTCCTTCCCTCTGAACCACGTTTCCTCTTCTTTACTCCTCAAAATCTTGGTGTTTTGGAAGCTTTGCTTTACTGTTTTGGCAAACATTTACTACTATTCTCTCAGTGGGGGACGCCACTTTCTGTGTGCTATGCTACTGGTCACTCTCGTACGATAGATGACATGATTTGAGGAAGACTTTTTGTCGATTTGATGAGCCTTCATAACTAGTTCTGTCTTAAATGTGTGGTAAAAAGCATGATATGTTTTCCTTGTTTCAAGCTGCACTCAAAAACATTCTTAACAGGAATGAGCCTGGGTGGTATAGGTGAAACTGGTTATAAATGATGTAATGCATCTAGGATTGCATTTGTGTAGTGAATACTTAACTACTCTTCACACTTGAACATATGATAACCAAATGTGCTAGCATTATATTTTTGTTAAATATGACAGCTGTAAGCAATGTTTCTTTGGCACCTGCGGCTCTTTGTTCGTGCCTGTGCTTGCTAGAAAACAAGAGAGGAGTGGAATTCTGCGTTGGTCTGACTGATGTCTAGAATCTTGCATTTTCTGTTTTGCATGATCTCCTCATTGGAGTACAAGATTGTTGAAACTTGACTAAACAAGCTTTCCCTCCCATTTCCATTTTACCTTCGCATTGACCCATGAGCGTGTTCAATATGTCGGTAATCCATCCCTTTCACACTATTTTGTCTCCATAATCATTTGTCAAATTCCGGTAATAACTATTTCTCCAGCAAGCATAACTGTGCAATGAGTCCATGGAATCACATTTCTCAAGACTTTCTGAACTCTGAGCTTATGCTCGCAAGCAACTTTAGATCCATCATCAGCTGAGAATGACTAATTTATGTGGTTGAAAACAGCAAGGAGCATCCCAACGGCTATTTCTGCTGGAGCAGCTCTCGCCGTTACCTCATCGCTCATCGATGCTGGAGGCCAGACCACTAGAGTAGACAATGGCAAGGAGTATTACCCTTACACCACCAAGAAAAGATCCACCGTCGAAGCATGATTTCTTCTCTTCATCCAATGGTCAAATGCAGGGATGAGCTCTGAGCAAAATGTGGTTGAAATTTTCTTTGGTTTCTTGCCGTCTGGTCTCAGAACGTGTAATCAATAACTCTTCTTGCTGTTCATTTGGTTCTTCTTTGGGTTCAATAAATACTCTCTTATGGAATTTTGGTAAGAAACATTCGTTCAGTTTAAGCTTTCAGTTTGAGACAGCTAATGCTTCTGCGTTTAATCGGAATGAATTTAACACAGAAATAACTTGACTGGAGGTGGTGATTGTGGAGAGATGAATTGGTGTATTGTAAACAGAAAACGAGGGAAACTAATACATTCCCAGCCAGGATTGAAACCGATATGCGGTAGTTTGTTAGTTGGAATTTATCGCTAGAAAAAGGTGACACTCAACTCGGGTCGAGTACATTCCCAAATATATCCAGTTCGAGATGCCACGTGTCAATAACCCATTGAACGTCTCAAATTTCATGGCCCTCGTTGAAATCAAGTGCATAATCTCCCTCCATCTCCAAGGCCACGCCAGCAAGAGAAAGAGACAGCAAGACAAAAAAAGAAGAGCTGCAGAGATCAGCGACTGGACTCCAGCGCTCTTCTCTTTCGGATAGTAATGGCTGGTTTGGCTACTTGTTGTTCCACTCTCTCTTCCACAAGGTAAACAGAAACAAACCATTAGTTTCTACTCTCTCTATTTGCATGCTACTGATTCTGGAGCGTTCAGCTCTTTGCGATTACTTAGCTTACTGCCTGTGGCTATGTGGAGAAGTGGGATTCTTCCTGCACAGAAGCCTTTTGCTGTTGAGAATCAATTTGGTGGCAGATTTCGATGCTTGTTGATCTGGGTTGCTTCTATTTTAAATGGGGTTTTGTACCTTTTCCAGTTCCCAATTGCTCAGCTAACTGAAAACGAAGAAGCTCTATATATTATATACCAAACTCAAACTCTAATAGGCAATGGTGTTGTTTCACCTTCAGAAGCCAACGTTGCATCCATCTCCTTGTCATTTCGTGAATGCACAAATGCCAATGCCATTCGAGTGTAGCTTTGTAGATTTCATCTCCTTATATGATCTTCACTGATCCATTTGTCACGAGTAGGAACAAAACATATTCCAGATCTCAACTCGTTGCTTAACCAAGAATTGGCTACAATGAAATGATGGTTTCTGTCCTAGTATGCCTTTGATTTCAACTTCCAACGACTAGTTACTGCACTTCCACTTGGCTGAACACTGGTTTTTCAGTCTTTAGCAATGCATATGTATATGGAGGCCTGGTGACTTTGAATTGGTGAAAATCAATGAAGTAACCTCTAGCAATGCATGTGTGTGGTTTCAGCCATGTTGCAGTGTCTTGGTTGGAATTCCAGACTCATCACAGTGGAAGAATAACGGCATGGAAACCGAGTCGATGGAGAAATGCTAACGGGATTAGAGCTGAGGTGAAGTTTGTGAAGCCAGATGAAGCAAAAAAGCTGGTAACAGAAGAAGGGTATGCGGTGGTCGATGTAAGGGACAGAACGCAGTTTGAGAGAGCTCGGATTAAGTCGTGCTACCACGTTCCCCTTTTCATAGAGAACAAAGATAATGACATTGGTAAGTCTCGAATTTTTTCGAGATATCTCATTGGTAAAATGATATGATTTTAGGATCCTTAGTTAGCTTGTGGTTTTGCAGGTACCATCGTATTAAGGACAGTGCACAACAACTTCTCGGGTTTGTTCTTTGGATTACCTTTCACTAAGCCTAACCCTGAGTTCACTGAGTCAGTGAAGAACCAGTTTTCAGCCGGAAGCAAACTGTTACTCGTGTGCCAAGAAGGACTGAGGTGAGCTATGTCAATCTCAAAACCCACCTTGTTATCTTGAATGCTTGTTGAGTGCCCAGAATGAATAGATAATACGGATTGATTGTGAATTTGGCGATTATAGTTTCAATTGAAACAAATTAGAATCTAAGATTGACAAGTCACCATCGGCCAGGTGTCATGGTGTAGTTGGTTATCACATCAGTCTAACACACTGAAGGTCTCCGGTTTAAACCTGGACGATGCCACTTTTACTTTCGTCGATGTGTCGTATTCTTTTACACCGATTCATTGTGTTCTTGTGCTCATCTCTATCTTCAGGCAAATTCACATAGCTTGATGCAGGTCCGCGGCTGCAGCCAACAAATTAGAGAAAGCCGGTTTTGAGAACATAGCATGTATAACATCTGGTCTCCAATCTGTTCCACCAGGTTAGATTTTGATACACCAAGTACGCCCACTCTCCTCGGACCATTTATCTCATTATCTTCCATGCCCTGACAAACGCTTCTTCCAAACACAGGTACATTTGATTCTGAAGGCAAGACTGAGCTGCAAGATGCAGGTAAAGCCGGTTTGGTCACTGTTCAAGGCAAGATCTCAGCTGTTCTTGGAACCGTACTCATCTGTAAGTCGTATACATACGCTGGCCAAACACCATCTACTTAGCTGCGTCGACTGAATAGTTAGCGTAGACCAAACACCATCTATTTCATCGCATTGACTGAATTTTTAGCCTAATTAAAGTCTCGATATGCAGGTGCATTTCTGTTCATCACATTCTTCCCAGACCAAGCGGAGAAGCTGTTAGAACTGGCACCTACTAGCTAGACTGCCACAGTTTTGTACAGAATGTATGCTGTTGCCATACCTCAAAACATTTCCTTAATCTTAAACCAGCATCGTTTATTATCCATCCAAAGTAATGCACAGACGTAAAACCAACTGCAAATCAACAATCCTGCCCAAGTAAAAGAAAAATCAATGACCAACCAATGCATTGGCTTAAGTGAAAGAAAGGAAACGGGGAAGGAAAAAAAAGGAGACAGTTCCAATAGTAAAAAAAAAGCCAAACGTTGAAAATGGAGAGCTAAGAAAAGGAATTCACAAGAAAACTGGAAACCTAGCCAGGAGGGTGTAAACAAATATTACAGTAAGAACTTTTTCTTTCCTTTTTCGCTTTCAAAAAACAGAAGACCCAAAGACCAAAAAAATATTACAGTGAGATTAGAGTAGGGGGAGGCGCCATGGCATGTATATCCTGTGCACCATCATCAACCAGGGTAAACAACATCATCGGTTGTACCGTTAGATTCAAATGAGCACACGTTTGAGCTTCTCCTTGCCTTTCGATGATGATAGGGAAAAAAACAGAAACAGAATCCCAGCATTGCTACAAAAACGCGTTCCTCCGTTTCCCCAAGGTGCTAGACTGGCCTTAGTCGCCTTGTAGGCAGTACAGTTGGCGGACATTACCTGAAGCTGCAGTATCATCAACATGAAATTCATCATCTCATTTACGTCCTCAAAAGGAAAAGCCGGAGAAAACAAACTGCAGTTTCCTATTTGAACGAAATACCAGAGTTTAAAATGATGCCCGTCATTACCATATAACCAATCTTTGAACAGCACATGGAGTGCGGATGACAGTTCTCGCTTCCGGCTGTCTTCGAGTGGAGTGTCTCTCAATAGCTGCTTCATCTCATCCAAGCTTTTTAGCTGAAGGAACAGAGAAAAAGAATTCTCATGAGTTGAACTCATAAAATTGAAAAACGCCTAAGCAAAATGAATATTCCGCATGCTGAGATAATAGAATGGATCATATACATTTTTCTGACGGGATTCCATATAATTGCCTGGCAAAGGGAAGGGGTTATCTTTTGTCATCCCCGATGATTCGCCTCCAAACCAGTTGGGAATCTGTATCAAGGAACAAGTACACGACATACTGAGCAACTAAGACTTAGATTCTCCAGGCGTATATATACAGATTTAGGTACCACACTATACTGAAAAATTTTACCGACAGATGACTATGAAAATTATTTACTTTACTGACACATAAAGATAATGCAATACCAGGAAGTTTGTGAAAAGGTCGGGATCTATCCGTGCGGCGGTCTCAGCTTGAACATCAGAGACACCTGCCGGATGTGATAATGAATCGTGAGGATCAACAACTCCCAAGGCCAGCGGCTCATCCCACTTGTTGATGTTTGCTTCAATACCAGCTTCAACCATGTGTGCTTCCAAATCAGCATAAAATGTATTGTACGGTGCCACCTGGATCAGACAGTCAAATACTCTTCGAGTTATTTCCTGTTGACTTGATGTTTAAAATCACAAGAAAATAAATAGAGAACACTCTTGTAGAGATAGCTATAACTATCCCACTCAGAATGAAAATGTTTTTAAGTCTCCTTCAATTACCAGTTGTATGCTCTTAAGTCTTAACATCTTCCTTCCAAAACAATCGATCACAAATTGATACACACTTACCTGTAGCTTATGGTTATCACCAACCATGAGTGGCCGCTGATTTACACCAAGAAAGAATGCACACTCTCGACAATTGGCAATACATACTCTTTTTGCAGCTGTAATCACATGAACTCGCTCACAGTGTTCAATCCTTACAGCCTGAAAAAAAAATGTATATATAAGAGGAATACAGCCTTCAATGTCATCCAAAAGGACTACTGACAGGTAAAGTTCTGATTTTTAAACGCATGCAATGTTCACGAACATATGGTAGCACTAACACACATGATTCGGCCTTCCTAAGACATGTAAAAGTGATCAGTGCTGTAGCAAAACCTCACTCTTTCCAGAGGTAAAGTTATGAGGTTTGACTACCGGGGATGGAAGGTTAGAAGCACGAAAAGGAATTCAAGCTCAGGATTAGAACTAAGTCAAAATATCACCAGATGCAAGGTATTGAACCCAGGTAGAAATCATAAAATCCAATAGTTGGTCCAATGGACCTTACCTTCCCCACAGCTCCAAGAACTATAGTAGAGTCAGAGCATCCATAGACGGTGGCATATCTCAATGGTGCTAGGATGTAAATGACCGAATCGTGACAATTTAAAACCTGCAACCATCCGAACAGTGTGAAAAACCGGGTTAACTGAAACAAACTTCGATGATCACTCCCAATTCCTTCAATTCCACAAATAAGCAATGAAGGAAAGAGGTTGGTAGTGGTGATACATAGTTTAAAGTAAACAGTCTATAATGAGATGGCATAATCACAAATATGAGCGGTCACATGCATCACTTCAGGCAATGATAATGTAAAGACCAAACAACCCTGGAGCCATTGTGCGACCCTAATTTGTGACACGAGTCATTCAAGTTTTCATGTTTCGTACATTTAAAACATGAAATGTAGCACAGATGCTAGATCTGAATGAAGTAAACGCCTATAAATCTATATATTCAAATCTGGAAGAAAACACGTCTTTGAGTTCAAAAGAAGATTTGCAAGGGTAAAGGGCAATCTCATCTCCATAAACAAAATTTTAGGATGCATGCATTTTCCTTACCGGAGTATCTGAGGAACAGAATGTGGTTCAAATGATGAGATAGCCAAATCAGTTAAGTTAGCTCATACCAATAAGGGATACAATGCTATTTCAGAAAGCCAGAATAAGGAAAATCAGCTCTATTTCTTCAGAATTATAGTTCAATCATTGTCCTTGATAAATTGGTTCAATTTCAACTATTCAGAGGGTACTCTAAGACCAAGTAACATCTATATCCATCCAACATACATTAGCTAGATCCAGAGCATACAAACCCCAAACTTGTAACTGCAGCATTACAAGAACATGAAATAGGCATAATAACGAAGAAATTATTAAAACTATCAGTAGGGCAGTACATGGCTTAAATTTCGGTCGCAAATACAAACTAATTGCAAGAGTGCTGGGCATCAAAATTCGGACAATATAGCCAGTATAACCAATAAGATTAGGCTCATAATTCACTGAAGCTAGAGCAGACTAGCTATTCAGATGCTCAGAACAAGTACTAGAGCATGGCAAGCATAGAACTAAGTTCAATCTGAGTTGAACCAAAATCAAGGCATGCTAGCAAGAATTATTGCAGCTGCATCCCTTGAAAGAGGAAACAGAAGATTTTTGTACCAATTCCTACCTTTACTGAGGAGCCTTTAAGATCCGATGCCTGTTTTACATACGACGATTTGGAGATACCCTCAATAAAGCTTGTGCCTCTGGAACTAGGAGAAGTCTTGCCAGAGTTATTGCAGCTATCAGCCATGGCAACATCTTGATCAGATGCACTCGATGGACCATTCTCTTTAGCAGATATTCTTTCAGTAATAGCCTCCAGCGCGGAGGTAATATTTTGTGATACCCAGTCAAGAACTTCGGAAGCAGGGACTGGAACAGCCGGCATGTCAGGATCTGAATTGGCAAAGAATGGAGCAGCTTGGCCTAATGAAACTCCTTCTGAACTCTTTTCACCAACTTGCATAAGAAATCCAAGGTGCTCAAATCCTTCCATGGTCAAAACCTGAGACAAAGTGGTTGCAACTCTCGGATTAGTAACGACGTAGCAATTTGCAGAATGCAACAGAGAATCACACCAAAGCTTCGACCACTAAAAATGGAATGAATCGAGGACGATATAGAAATATAGAAAAGTGAACGGAAAAGATAATCATGCTGGATAGTCTTGTCACACTCATAAGCCAGCAGTTTTCACATAAAAGTCATAAAAGTAGGCTGCATAAAACGCAGAGCAGTCTAATTTAACAAACCAGGGACTCGTCGCCTTCGCCTTCTCCTTCAACAGGTTCTGCCAGCAGAGAAAGAATGTTACCCATGTGCTTTTGTAAATAGGATAACTGATGAGCCTCTTCATCAGCCTGTGAAGGCATGAAACGGCGGCTGTTGCTGCGTACAAGCTGCAAGACAACACAACCATGAGGAGAAGACATTGGAAAAATATCACATAACAAAAGTAGAAGGATAAACATTGATCACTATGATATACACCAAATTTCAGAATCTTAGTTCATTTTACTTCTGGATGTATACATATGAACCTGATAACTCCTAAAAATCGATGTTGGCAGAAGAGGAAGGTTGAGAAAGATTATTCCATTCCAGCTCCTCAAATGATAGTATAAACGAAACATAGAAGATCCAAACGTAAACAAGGCTTGTGTACAGTAGCCAAACACTTCTTTGTGTTGTCCAGAACTAACATTATACCCACCGTAAGAACTTCATTCATTAAAAAAAACAGAGCTCTTAAATCTAAAGACCAAATGGCCAATTAAAACGGCAGGAGGGTTCAAATCAGGTCATGAACAAGAACATGAAGAATCGGAAAAATAAAAGAATGAATCGACTTGGTATTAAGACAGATCGTCTGCAGTCAAAATGTACATCACGCATCAACTTATTTGATTGACCAGTCATAACTTTCGTAGGCTTACAAATTTCCCCACCCATTAATGATGTTACCATACTGATTCTCTAAAAAGCATCTCATAGAGCCATGCAAGCTTCAGAAATAATTTTGACCAACATCACGACCATGTAAGATGACCTCCACTGAAAGTAACCTTGACAGAATCCATCAACCAGCCAGCGTAAGTTAAGCTACAGTTCTTCAACAGTTCAACACTCGCTCACATTGATATTACTATAAATATAAATCCAGGCCTTCTCCCATGCTAATTGAACCCTACTCAACTCCAATAATAGTTTTCACTACAATTCATCAATATGCAACCTAGCTAATACCAAGTTCCCAATCACAACACTAGCAACTAGAAAGATCCAATATAACGGAGCAAATCACACGGTCAACAAGGAAGCCACAACCCTCTCGAAATCCTCAACAATTGCATAGACCACCATGGTAATTGACAACAACGCACTGAAAACTCACACATTTCCACGATGGCTAAGAGCATCTCCCAATTGAAACAACGCGCGTATCAATTCACAGAGTTATCCGCCTAAAGGATCGACCATTTGCACAATTAACCGACCTGAATACAGCACAATCAACAAGGGAATTCACCTGAAGCGGCGAGAGAGCGGACAAATAACCATCGAAAGCTGACGTGGAGGGCCAAACATCGGCAACCGCAGCGGAGTCCTTGTGTGTCCTGGGCAGCAGCTTCTTATACGATTGTATATACAGGAAGAGTATCAGATCACGCGAATCCGCCCCAACCGAATCAATCTCCCCAGGCGGAGCCTTGACGAGCGGGTCGGACTCGGAGTGAAGCACGGAGGCGAGGGTATCGAGCACGAGCCTCGCGTGGTCGGTCGAGATCTGCAGCGCCTCCGCGAGGGCGGCGGCGTCGACCCGCGGTTGGGACGCGAGCTTCTGTCTGAGTTGACCCAGAGTCTGCGTCGGGTCCGGGAAGATGAGCTTCGGGATTGGAAGGAGACCGTGCTCGAAGGGCTCGCGGCGCGGGTGGATTTGGGAGCTCGGTGACAAAGGGCTCGCCGAGGGATTCGGGTCGCTCGTCGACGTCGACGGTGGCTCAGCGGCGTCCGCCATGGACAAACAGAGGAACAAGAGTGGGGGTGGAATTTGATGCAGAAATGAGGGGGGGGAGTCGCTTCTCCTTTCCACTTCTGGTATAGTTTTTTTCTTGCAGATCTTCGAGAGACGATGAAATGGCGTTTTTGTCCGAGAGAAGAGAAGGGAGGGGAGGAGAGTTGAGTGAGGGAGATTGAGATCTGGTACGTGCAGGTGCACGGGATTAGCTGCCATGGCTGCACATCATTGCTTCTAGTATCAAACTACCAGCCAATAAATTGGTGACACGTTTTACTTTCTCACTGAGAGTGGGATCACATCGTTAGAATCACAGGTTCGGCTGTTGACAAATGGCATACGAAAGAGGACTCTTCTTTCTCCAAATGTCTGGCAAAAATGCCTAACATGCTACTAAACTTTTTGTTATGTTGCTAACATACAACTTTACTTGTTTTTATTGCTAGGAATACCATTTTAGTTTTTTCACTTTTTGGGTTTAATTTCGAATTTTCTATCTAAAATGTAACGGTTTGGCTAATATAAAATTTGATGTTAAATAGTTTTGTATCTGGTTGAGTTGTTCTTATAATTATTAACTAGGTTTGCCCCGATTCGTTGGCCGGATTACTTTAATTTACTAATTATGAAATGGGGAAGAGAGCTCGAACAAAAAAAAAATATTTGGGTTGAACCCACAATTTGAATCTATTTGAGTTCATATAATTATACCTATAAAGAAATAATATGTGTTGATTATTTAATTTACTAATTATGAAATGGAGGAGAGAGCTAGAACAAAAAAAATATTTATTTGGGTTGAACCCACAATTTGAATCCATATAATTATACCTATAAAGAAATAATATGTGTTGATTATTTAAAATTATAATTAAGCTATTTTTGGATGAGTTCATGATTTGGATAGATGTAATTATTTGTAATTATAAAATTTATATTTATACCATAAGATCCCCTCCAAATTTTAATTAAATATTGATTTTACCCATAAAGTGAAAAGATGAAAATTAGAAGTAACATATAAAAAAAGGGCTAATACTACTACAACACCCAAACTATCCAAAAAAATGTCACTTGTGTCTTATTGTATTAAATATTACATTTATATCCTGAACTATTATTTTTGTTAACTCATTCTGTTAGTATTAACAGAAAATCTAGTCAGCGTCGATGTGGCAGCTGACGTGGAATTCCAGATTCTTAAACTTAATTTTTTTATGTCACTTAACAAAATAATTAAATTAAAAATAAAAATGAAAACCCTTTCCGTTCACCCCTCGTTTGCCTTCTCCGACCTGCCGAGGTTCAAATAAAAAACCCGAGCTCTGCTCCCCTGATCGTAAGCAGATCTCGTCGTTAACAAAGAAGGTCGATGATTTGGGGTTCGAATTAGGTTTTCTGGCGATGAATGAATGGTTATTGGACGTACAGAGGAAGGTAGATGGATTGGTGGCAGCGAGAATGTTCTGATTCCCCAGCGAAGGACGAGGAAGAGCATGGGAGGAGAGGAAGGTGTCGAGGAGAGAGGATGTTTCTCCGGGCGGCGGCACACTCTCAATTGTGAGCGTTCTAGTAGCCGCCTATTGCTTGAGAGGTAGATGCAGGTTAAGATGTGACCCTCGACGGTGGAAGTGGAAGACGGCAGGTGGCAACGAGAATGTTATGATTCTCTCTCTAGTCTTCTTCTTGCTCTGAAAAACGTAGGATTCGAGAGGAGGCAAGCCCTCCCCGATCTTCTTTCTTATTCTTTGAACAGGGCTGAAAATTTGCTTGTCCCGTCCCGTCCCTGAAGGGTCAAGATGTATAATTGACCCGTCCCGCCCCTGTCTCCTGCTTGACCCCGTCTAACCCTCAAGGGTGGGACGGGTCGGGACGGGCCGGGTCAGTGGGTCGACCCTAATCAACACACTACTTTTTTACAAATTACGTTTTGGTACCCAAAATTATTTTTTCTTATAATTTAGTACCTAAATTTTTTTTTTTACAAATAAGTCCATAAGTTTTGATGGTAAAATTACGTTTTGGTACGCAATTTTTTTATTTTTACAAGTTAGTACCTAAACTTTTAAAACTTTACAAAAAGGTCGAATGTGGTGTGAGATTATTTGTTGTTGCTAAGGGTCACAGGGTCAAAACGTGACCCGTCCTTAAGTTGTCCCTACCCGTCCCGACCCTTACACGGTCAACAAATGACTCGTCCCTAATCTGTCCCTATAGACAAACTGACCCGACCCAACCCTTAGGGACGGGACGGGTCGAGACAGGTCAATGGGTCTTCCGGGTCAAGATTTCACCCCTACTTTGAAGCATAGGGAAGGCAAGTCTTTGTCGAAATCAAATCCCTAAACCTAGATTTCCACCACAAAAATCTGTCAAAAATCACCCAAAATTTGAATCTGCAGAATAGCTCTGGAACCCTAGCCGTCGAACAATAGGAATTGGTGGAGAATGGACAGGCGGAGGCGGGTTGGGAGTGAATGGTGATGGTGGGATTTGGGGCTTTTGATATTGGCTGAATGATTTGGTTCTGACGGTTTACAATGGGGTTTACAATGGGGAGAATGTAGAAAGGGAGTGTGGGATTGAGTGATTTTGGGCAGATGAACTCTTCCAAGAGAAGCATCGGCGGAATGGGATTCAAAACTTCCGTCGGAGAGAGGAAGAGGAAGAAGCAAAGAAGTGGTGGTGTAGGTTGGGGTTCTCGGAGTAGAGCAACGGCTTAGACTTTTTTGTTTTCTAATTTTTTTTTATATTTTTTAATCAATTTCATTTTTAAATAAAAATAATAAAAATAATATGATGTGTTAATGATGTGGCATCTATGTGGCAATTTTATTTTTTTGCCACATCAGCAAAAGTTAAAGTTTCTTTGACTGTCGTCTAGTCAACCGTTATTTTTAACGGTCAACAAAAGGGTCGGGATATAAATGACACAAAGTATCATACGATGGGACATGATTGAAATATTGAATAAAATAGGACATAAGTGACATTTTGTCGATAGTTGGGTGTTGTAGTGGTATTAGCCCTATAAAAAACGATTGATGACATGGTAGTCTCATTTTTTAATGGTATTAGTATATTAATGGAGGTAATGAAGTTTGTCTGATTAGGTTTGCAATTGATATCATCAACTGTGGTTTGTCCTTGTGCCTCGTTCTTGCAGCGATAGGTAAGTTCTTCTTCGTTGTTGCCACTGTATTGAACGGGGCTTTGATGTCAAGAACCAGTTGATCCCAATAACTCGAGTTGTTGGGAGAGGTTCAATCTTGGATCATATACCATTATCTAACACGCCCCCTCAAACGAAAGCCAACCCATGGGCTTGAAGTTTGCACAGACCCACCATACCATGTGCTTGAAAGACAACGATTAATATTGGGGGTCGTGGAGATTCGAACACATGACCTTTCGGTTCTAGACTCTGATACCATGTCAAGAACCAGTTGATCCCAATAACTCGAGTTGTTGGGAGAGGTTCAATCGTGGATCATATACCATTATCTAACATTTGATACCACTTAATACAACCATAAGGGGTTGGTTTTTATCAAGGTAGCACAAGCAAAGATCAATCCACAAGGATTGAACTCGAATAAAGAAGAAACACCAAAACAAATTTTGTTTTCGTGCTTGGGAGGAACTTTATTGCAACTTTCACGAAGGGAAATAGGCTCGATAGGTATGGTTCGATCCTTGGCCACGATCAGAATGAGTAGCTTATCGATACAAGCTCAACAAAAATCTAGAAATCCACTAGATTGCTCTCTCAATTCACTAAGCAATATGCAAGATGAATCAAACTAGGGTTTGTATTCAATTGGGCAAAAACTAAACTAATACACTGAAAAACTCTCTAAGTACAATACAACTCGAATTGGAACTCAAAACCAACAATTAAATGGAATCTGAATGCAACAAGGAAAAGCAGAATGTCTTGGGATGCAAGTCAACTCTCATGCTTCATACGATATTTGGGGTCATTGTTCGAAGCCTTCCAAGTATCAAATCGATCAGTCAATTCTTTGCCTTTGTAGAAAAAAAATGTAGTTTGATGTGACATAAATCTTTGGACTCGACTCTCACCCGTATGTCTCGAATAGGCCTTCAAAGTCGGGTTGTCAAACTACCTCTAATACTTGGTCATTTCTCGGTCAGATTTTCTGTGTTGAGGTAGCATCATGGGAAGCTTGGGAAATGGCTTTACTGGCTTCATTCTGACCTTTCAAGCTTTCCACCATGTAGATAAACTCTTTATCTTCACTCCCAAGCTATCCTTTTGAATTTCCATCGAGCCATTTGAGAGAACCAGGCTTGCAAAGTTGGTTACCTGAAACAGTTGAAAGACAGCCAAAAATGAGTGTTCTTCTTTCCACTTGAGATAGCTTCTTGGTTAAGTAATTTTGGACTGTAGATTGAGCAATTTGGGATTGTATCAACCATTAATCGATGAAAGAAGAAGCATAAGAGTAGTAATCATAAAGAGTTATTTCCCCTAGCTTTGAATTGAATGAGATTTGGGGGAATGCCTACACAGATACCAGAATGGCCAGAAAAGAGGTAACCAGGAACGAGAACTCAGCGATGGAAAGATGAAGTTGCAAGGGTTGTCCTGCAATGAGAGAGAAGTGGAAGTCAGAACTCGGTGACGGGAAACAAATTCTCCTCGGCTATGGTTTTCGGAGGAGGGAGCTTTAGATGGAAGAAGAAGGAGGGGAGATGTTGACATATAATGCTGGAAATGAAGGCAGAAGTAGGGATTGCAATGAGTCAGGTCGCTGACGGATAGTGTATATCCGTTACCCTATCCAAAGTAGTTTGGGTTTTACCCATACACATACCCGCATAAGAAACGGGTAGAAAATTCAAACCATGCCCATATTCGTTCGGATTTCGGTTATCCATGGGAAATAGTCTCTCTTTTATAACTCCAACCAATATGTGAATATTCACATGTGTTTCTCACAGTACGTAAGACGAAAATTATTCACTAGAATGAAGAAAAATTAAAACAACACAATTTCATAAAAATATTATATTTATATGCTAATATAAAATATTTTTGAGAAAAATATTGATTATTTCAAAATAAAATACATATGCATGTGTATAATCGGGCGGGTTCGTGTTGGATAGTGAGAAAACCATGCCCACCCATTACCCGCAATATTTGGGTTCGGGTTTTATCTGTACACACTAAAAGTCCTTCGGGTTCG